AATTGAATTAGAGAAGTAAAGAGAAACTGGATAAGAGGTATTTGTATGCTCATATGGAAATGGTTTAAAATAGAATTATATTGTATAAAATAAGGTTTTATTTGACTTGTAAAATTTATAATGGAAAAAGGTTCAAGTATGTAATGGTTAATGATGATTTGTTTGTCTTTAAAATTAATAAAATGTGTTTAAAAAAATTTTTTTTGGCTCCTTGGCAACTGGCATGTATTTAACAATGGTTGCAACATTCTGGGGACCCGCAATACCTTTTGTGACCTTTCAAGAGGCAGTCAATGGGGGAGCCAGATTCCTTTGGCGACCACATCCACAATTTGCTCACCAACTGCAGTGATTTCCTTTACAGCCATGGCAAAAAGGGTCATAAAATTTGGAGGTAACTTACTTAACCACCTTGCTTAGCAACAGAAATTCTGGTCCCACTTATGTTCATAAGTCGAGGACTACCTGTATATTATTTTACACAATGGGTGTAATTTGTTCAATATTTTTGTCATCTTGCTGCTTTGGAAGATGATTACAAGATGAGTGATGTTCATATATTCTTTCAGTCCTGATAGCCAGACAGTAACTTGATACAAGTTTATTTACCTGTGGCAAGTTGCACCTTTTCACAATACTGACTGTACCCCCCCATCCCAGTTCCTCTCCACCCACATTATAGAACAAAACATTTACAGACTAAGTACAAACATCCCCTTATCACATCAGCCTGCTTTAAGTCCTATTTATAAGGAAGGCAGTTCAATCACTAAGTCATGTCTGACTCCTTGTGACCTCATGGACCATAGCCCGAGGCCCCCTGTCCTCCATTGTCTTCCAGTTCGTCCAAATTCATGTTCATTGTGTTGATGACACGATCTAACCATCCTCTGCAGTCCCCTTTTCCTTTTGCCTCCCATCTTATCCAGCATCAGGGTCTTTTCTAAGGAGTCTTTCCTTCTCGTTAGGTGGCCAAAGTATTTGAGCTTCAGCTTCAGTATCTGTCCTTCCAAATAGTCTGGATCGGTTTCCTTTAGGATTAGGGTTATTGATCTCCCTGCAGTCCAAGGGACTCTCAAGTCTTCTCAGGCACCACAATTTGAAAGCATAAATCCTTCGATGCTCTGCCTTCCTTATTGTCCAACTCTCACAACCATGCATCGCTGTAGCTTTGACTATACACTTTTGTCAACGATGATGTATTTGCTTTTTAATATACTGTCTAGCTTTCCCATAGCTTTCCTCCCAAGGAGCAAGTATCTTTTATTTTCTTAACCCCAGTTATCTTGGAGTCCAAGAAAATAAAATCTGTCATTCCTTCCATTTCTTGCAGCCTTCCTACTGCCCTCGTTTGTTGAAAGACAGAAACTGAAAGGCAGAACCATGGTCTGCAAATAAAAGGGTTAGTATCTTCTCTGCCTAAGATGTTGGAATAACGTTTTCTCGATGTCAGCTGGTGGGGGGTGGTGGCTTGTATCTTTAAAAGGGTGAAATGGATGCTATAAGCATTTGCCAGTCTTCAGACATTCATTTGCAAGGCCCACTTTCTCTGAAGAGGGTCTCAGTTATAACCCAACATTAATGGTTTAGTACAAGCCAACCAAATATTGTCAGTACTTGAAAGACTTTAACACAAGGTGTGGATTCTAACCTAAAGTAGACTTCTTCAACCTGGTGCTTCCTACAGGCTGATCTCCATATTCTCCAGTCAACAAAGGTCATTGTTTCTCAACTTTGCCAGCTTTAAGATATGTGGATTGCAATTCCCAAGTATGCTGGCTGGGGGAATTCTGAGAATGGGAAGTCCACATATCTCAAAGCTGCCAAGGTTGAGGAACATTGACATCTGGGAATTGAAATGCAGGATTATCTCCAGCACCAAGGTGAAGGAAGAAAATATGGTTTGCCAATTGCACAGTGGCAGATAGGAAAGCACTCCAGAGGGTTAATGTCATTGCCCAGATAATTGGTTGCCCTCTCCCCTCTTTGGAAGAGCTTTATAGCTCCCACTGCCTTGAGAAAGCTCAAAACATTCTCAAAGATCCATCTCATCCCGGGAACCCTTTTTTTGAACTATTACCATCTGGCAGACGATAAAGAATAATAAAAACAAGGACAAATAGGCTGAAAAACAGCTTCTATCCCAGGGCAGTAGCTCTTTTGAATTCTGCTGTATAGGGCAGTGTTGGTGTGGTGTTGGGGTTTTTTGGTTCAATGTGTGAAGAGTGAAGGATGTGCATTTGTGTTTATATTCATGGTCATGATGTGCACTGAAGATGGTGTTTGATTTCGTTGTATGAGGTACAATGACAATAAAGTAAAGTAAACTAAATCAATTATTTAATTGTTCAAAATCCTTTTGGACATGTACACGTCTGCTTTGGGTTATACTGTGAGTGAATTTACACATCCCTAAAATATGGAACAATTTTGTGCATGGCAAGTATTGGCTGGTTAATATGAATGCTATTTCCTTACTACATACTTTACTACTGGCAGCTTTTAAGAGATAAAACGTATCATCCAGAATCCACTTGAGTAAATGGGAAGTATGGCTGCTCAGCATTCAGGTGCTTTGAGATTGTGTCTAGGAACTATATAGGAAAGCAGGGTCTGGCACGTGCATTTAGGTTAAGCAAACAGGAAGGTTTAGTGTGTCTGACTTTTGTGTATAGCTCAGTGGTGGATGAACCCAACCAATGCAATTTTTTCAATGGGATTATGATCCAGCTGGTTGCAACTTAATAAATGAGATACTAATGCCATGCATGAACTAGGCCACTTATATAGAGTTTTGGGATGAGAGATGTAACTCTTGCTCCTGTCATATCCAACTTGATCAGTGGGGTTACCTAATCTAACTCTTGTCCACTGCTGCTTGACCAAGCCTGGAGTTGTCTACACTGTGTGTGTACAGTGATTATTTATGGAGATCTTAGATGGCTATGAGCTTGTCATTATGACTGATCTCCCTTGTTTAAACATTTCAGATACTAAAAAAAAAAAAAGATTTTCCATTTTTTGATAATAGCTCTAAAAAAGTTGGCAAACAGACGGCACTGCTAGTTATCAGGAAATGTTGATTCAAATCCAAGCCTGAATGTTACCAAAACTTGCTTGTTTAGGCCCTGTTAACAGGCAGAATGTATCAGCAATGAAGATTAGCCTCCTCCTCCTCCGTAAGTGAAGGAAGTTCTTTGAACCTGAGAATGCTTGTTACGAATAAGCATCGTTCTTTTTATTAATATTTTTCGTGTGATTTCACATGGATATTTATAATCGGCATTAAAGCAGGAAAACCCATGTCACATATTAAATTTGCAGGATAGGAAAGCATCCCTTTAAGAAGTTACATCTTTTATCCCTGCTCTCCAACCCTTTTCACTGGGCAAGAGACACAACTTCAATCCTGCGGCTTACAGCAGTTCTCATAAATGGGTTTTTTTTTCTTGCACCTCAGCAATGCTGATCAGACTAGCAACCTATTAATTTCTAGTTACTTGACTATGAGAAACCCTTAAACAAAATATGGTAAAATGGCTTCACCCAACTCAGGCTGCCCTGGAAATAATATTAGTAAATTTGTTGAGCCTGGAAATATATTTCTGTCACAACTGGTCTCCATCCTGTCTGAACAGAAGCTTATTGGCAAGCATTCATTTTATACATTAGTTATGCTTTTTTTGAATGATGATCCCTGGTAACTTGACAGGTCCCTACAATTTTCTTTGCCAGTTTTTGAAAGTAGTTTGCCAAGTTTTTAAAAGTCTTTTTCTAAAGGCTGAGAAAGGGACTGGCCCAGGGTCACCCAGCTGGCTTTGTGACCATGGCAGGACTCTAGAACTCATGTTTTCCTGGTTTCTAGCCTTAACCACAGAATCAAAACTGGCTCTCTATTCTGTTTTTATTTTACTTTTCTTAAGCTAACCATAATTGTAATGTTGCTCTATAGGGAAGAATTTGGGGTTCTAAAATATTCCCAAGTAGGGAATGAAAACCAAACTTTCATTCTCCTGTTGTTTCCATGCAACTGTTTAATGGACTTCCTTTACTCATGAAGACACAAATACTAGACCTCAACAGGTCATCTGATGTAATGGCTATCATTACCTAACCCAGGAATTCTTAAAACCCCTATAGCACTCTCTTGCCTGCTTTAACTCTCTTTCATATGACTGCTATGTACATTTTTTTAACCTCACCCCTTTTCCAGGTCTATGATTGGGAGTAACATTTGAGAAAAGTTATGCTATTCATGTTTCATTATATTTTCTTAACAAACATTAAATGCATGAAAAATTAAATGTATGAAAAACATTTTATTACAAAACTAATATTCCCCAACAAGACTGTACATTAAGATACTGTTACAATTAAAGTACATATCAGTGGTAAGGTGGCGACAGTTGTGATGAGTGTGTATTTGAAAGACAAAGGATTGAAGAATTTTCTAAATTCTTGTTAATGAACACCACACTATCAAATCATTGGTTAAAAAGAAAATAAATGCATAATCTGGCTAGGAGGATATTGTGAAGACAGCCAGACTGCGTTTCCTTTCCAACAGGGCTTTACACATTTGCGCACTAGTTGCAGCTTCATCCTAGCACGACTTAAGCACGCAACATGATTTTGCAGCATAAACAGCTTAAAGCAATAATTTATGACATTTCCTAGGAATTATATGCTGAGAGGTTGCTCCAAATAAGCAAAGAAAAGAAATCAAACAGGGACTAACTCTTATCTGCATGCAAGAGCAGAAGAGAAATATACATGATAGATTTCAACCAATACTCAAAAATCTGAAAACAATTAAATAGAGACTACTGGACCAAAATCCTGCATTTCTTTTGTAAGTCCAAAATGAAAAGAGCTATATTAGGCCCAAGATCGCATTTCTAACTTTGGGGATTAAAAAATTAAGGTAACACCCCACATTTCCAAAATATCTAACCAGGATTCATGAAGATGGTTTCCATTAGCCCTGACTTTTTTTTAAAAGAGATGTAGTACTGTCATCTAATCCTGAAATTTAAAATCCAGCACTGAAAATTTAGTATTGTGTTGATGACAGTTTAGAGACAGTATGCATTAGGAAGCAAGCAAGAGCAAAGATGGTATTATTTATGTTTCTAGTAACCCAATCCCAGCTGAGGTGGAACTCATTAAGGCAAATTCTGTGTAATTTACAACTGGCCTGCTTTATTTGCTTCTCCTCAACTATGTTAGCAATCTAATATTACTACTTCTGAAAAGCATTTAATTATATGAGACAAAGGCACCCCCCTCCCCCCCCAGCAACCAATTCAATTATAAAACAAGAGATCGATAGCGCTAAGTAATCCTTTCTTTCAAATAGTTGCAAAAAATTCACACAGCACCTTTTGGTTACTTTCTTTGATTGGGTAATTATGGTCATTATTTAATATTCTTTCCATAATGGTTTGTGCTCATAAAGCCCTGCATGAATTATAGGTATATGCATGCAGAAGAAGGGGATTTTTTGACCAAAACGTGGATCTGTATAGCTTCGGGCGATCAGTTTCCCAGTCCACATGGAAAGGCACGTTCTGTTGATGGTTTTTTTTTAAAAAAAGCAAATAAAACGAACCCAAATTAAATAATCAGGTAAGAAAATGAAGATCCCATGGCAAGATTTTACAAGTGGAATAGCTTACCTCTATCACCAAAAATATTTTGTTATATGTGACTTCAATTATGTAGAGAAAACTTAGAAACAATTTCTTCCTGGCATCTCTGGGCTAAGCCAATTCGTTTAGGGCATGTTCAGACACTATTAGAAGAAACTTGGGAAACCTGTTTCAATTGCTAGTCTGGAAATGAGACAAAGGGATTATGTTCATAATTCGTGAATAACTTTTTTGATTCCTCTATTGCCCCATGATACTTTTTAAGAGAAAAATGAGGGGGCAGAGGAAAGAAAAAAAAAAGCTGAGCTCAGCAAATTCTTCTTCAAACTACTCAGTCTGACTGGTCCCTTCAGCTTCTTGTGAACTGAAGCCAAACACATTCACACACGCAGATACAGTTAGTGCACAGCATTTTGAAGATGCACTTGCCTCTGCATTGACCAAGTGCAGGCTAGTTCTTGGAAAAAACACCCTGAAGGAAAAGAGACACTTGATCAGCTACAAAGCATGGAAGATACGGCTCCAAAAGGTACCCGGGGATGGGGGTGGAAGAGTGAATAATAAGATTCCTAGCTTGGGCAGGGGGTTGGGCTAGAAGACCTTCAAGGCCCCTTCCAACCCTATGATTCTATGATCAAAATGGTGAAGACTTTTCTACATGCCACGCAAGCATGTACCAAGATCAAGACCACTGCCTGTGACTATGGGGATGGGTGGGTTGCCAAATAACTTCTGTGTTCAAGAAATGAATGTTTTCCTATTCTGAAGGTCCATGCGCACTTGTTATTCAACATTCAGGAGAGATCAAGAGTATAGCCACTCCATTAAAAAAATAGGCCAAGCCAACTTGGCTTCAGGACCAAGAACATATCAAGAATACCATGTAATCCCCACTTCAAGTCCTTTCTAGTTAAAATGGAAATGGAAGAAATGCTTGGAAAAGTATTTTCTTAAAATCTTGAAAAATGCTATCATTCATTGCAAATATTGAGCTTGGTAATAAATATAAATATAGGATAAAATCACTTTGAAACTCTTCAAGGGTTGGGAGAAACAGCACTGCAAACCTATGGGTGATGGGGAAAAAGTATTAATATGGAACTGTGCTACCTGGACTATACATTCTCCATTTCCTGTACACGATCAGCATCTTCCTCCTCCTCCTCCTCTTCCTCTTCTTCATTACCCTTTACTGCAGGTGTCTCACCATCCCTGGCTATCTCTTCCACATGAGCAAGCATGTCAGCCATCAAGGCTTCCTCTAGTCTCTTCCTCACTTGCTGAACCAGCTCTTCTTGCTTCCTGGAGAGAAAAATAATTAAATAAATACCCCCAAGCACACGTATCTATTCCTTTGTAGCATACAGCAGATATAACTGGAGAAACCCTGCTATTAGGGAAGAGGTAAATTGACAAAGAATAACAGGATCACTTTTATATCCTATGTTTCATTTCAGTAATTTAAGGTTGAATAGGCAGTGCTTCCTTTTTTAATTTCTCCACAACCACCATCTTATATGAGATTGGAATGAGAGCGAACAGGCAAAAGAAAAAAAAGTAAGCCTACTGAATCTGTGCAGGTAATCAATCATCTAGCCCTGAAGACTTGTGAGATTCATTGCAAGTGGGCAGCTGATCTAAATAACTTCTGTAAGTTGTCAATAGTACAGACTTTCTTCTCACCTCTGATGGGGGCTCTCTTTTCTATAAGGATGATACCCAGGTGTTGTGTTTGGGGATTCTCTTCCCTACCAGTCAAAATATCAGATCTGTCCATTCTGTTTCCTATTTGACTGGTGGGGGTAAAATCAGCAAGTCATCCAGCTATTACATATGATTCCTGGAGAACAACAATGTAGCTACAATGTAGGCTATTGCACTGTGGCTAGAAGCAGCTTTGTGGCTGCCCTAGCACTCATCAGATTTCTTTCTGAGCTGTGCAGTACGTGGTCAGAGCATACTGTTGCACTGCTAAATGCTGGCATGCTTACTTGCCCTTAGCACTTAGAGAGTTCCCTTCACTGTGTTCCAAATGCTGCTAGTGAGCTTGCTGGTCATGAATCCCCTACCAAAATTATGGGAGGGAACAGATCACTAAGCAGCTCGATATTTGACAGCTTCAACATTCATCGAATTTAGTATTCAATGCAATTTTGATACGAAAATGTTGTCCCAGTACTTGTTTGTTTGGTACTTGAGGGGAATAGCTACAGAGAACGGACAAAAAGTCAGCCTGGCTGGGAAGGCTGCTGCAAAAGAAAAAGGGGGACGGTCATTGATGAGGGACAGACAGAAATCCTTCCTGGCCAATGTATTTAATCACATCCTTTGTTTGGCACTCATCCTCCTCCTGGAACCAATTCACGATGAGTACTGAAGTACTACTGTAGAAGAGATCTCAATTGACTGAGCTGTGGTCAGGCTGAAGTTGTGGTAGTCTTGTGTGCTTTCTAGAACAGGGGGAGGACAGGGACTGGGCACAGGGATTATCTGCTCTTGCTGGAAATAACATCAAATATTTGTAGCCTTGCCTATGAATTAGACTGAGGCAGATAACATGCATATTTTACAACAATTTATATTCTTTTGAGGACAACAGAATCATAGGTACTTTTAAGCATCTAACAAATTCTAGCACTATGTAAAACCCCAGGGGGAGAAATTCACCTCCTGCCCTGGGAGTCAGGTTTTACTACCTGATGTCTTCATCAGTCACCATGAAGGCTTTGCAGAGAGGCTGAGAAGTGTTCAGCCAGACCCCGGGGTTTTTCTCAACAGCAGCAGAAAGCTGTCCAGTGATGGGCATTGTGCTGGTATGCAAGGCACTGGCAATGGCTGAAAGGAGAGTCTCATCAGTACATCCAGGTCCCACACCTAAAGAGGTACAGCATGGTAACAGTTAATAAATGATGGTCTTTTTTTGCTAATACTATTACAAAATTCCTGCTGATCAGCATGATCACGTTTAAGGCACAAATATATTCCATGATAGTCTGACAGCAGTATCAGGCACTAGGTAGAGTAGTGAGCTTAAATTCAAATTTAAATCTGTACTCCACAGCTAAAGCTTTCTCAAGACTCTTTTTTGGGGGGTAAAGAATTCAACTTTTTAACCTCTTGGCCTAGAAACGCAACTAAGGGAGAAAGCCTTTCCTCGTTTACAGAAGGCAGAGCTAACAATAAGAGGGCAGTTTAAGCCCTGTGCCTTCTAGGAGGAGGGATAGAATTAAGCTCTTTCCTGTGGTCTCCCTTTTCAGCAGTCTGAAAATCAGCAAGCTTCCCGCTTCCCTTGCCTGGTTTTGTTTTCCCGAGGATAAGGGGGCACAAAATGAGTGTGTATTTCATTTTATACACATCCCACCCAAATAGTGAGAGTTTCCAAAAAAAATAAAAATTAAAACGTATTTTGTATTTTTAACAAACAGTTCAAGCAGCTGGTTATGATGAGACATCTTAAGTGCAGAAAGAAAGGAAACTGGAATCTGAAAGGATTGGATCCCTTCTGAAATGGAGCTTAGGAAACAGCAATTTATACGAAAGGAGGGGCAAAAGAGATTCTAGCCAGAAACTCTTCATGAGGTCTTCCTGGTGCTCTCTGAGCTTGGCTGTTTGTTTGCAGACATTTGGGTAATGAAAAGTCCTAAAGAAAACAACCAAGCTCAGAAAGCAACAAGGACCCTCATTTAAATCCTGAGCTACAAATATTCTCCTTTATTAAAAACTCTTCAACGCAATTCAAGGATTGTAAAGGAGTGAGCTTTAAAGTTTTGATTACTGAAATGCATATATGGACAGACATAAACATTAACTTCTATGTGACAGAATAATAGCTTAGGAAAAGATTTACTCTTGCAACTAGCATGTAAAGATATATTATGGCATTGTGCTAAGAAGGCTCTATTCATCTGATCTATCTGGATATTTGTTTTTATGATTGGATCATTTATTTCAAAAATCATTACTTATCATTACGGTCAAATGCTCTGAAGAATATTTGATAGTGAAGAAGTGGAATGTAAAATATTCCCAATGAAATAATCAGCTTCGTGATCCGAGGAACTTGGTCACTGCCATCAGCAGTTCAGCTCTTTACCAACAGCTGCTGAAAGTACCTTGCAAACCCTTTGGAAGGTCCATTGTTTTCACCAGCTCCTCTGCAATGTCAAAGGCATTTAAGCCACTTAGTTTCTTTTCCCAGAAGAGCTAAAAAGAGAAAAACAATGTATTTTTGTAAAAAAAGAAAAAAACGGGGGGACACAGTGGGGAGGAAGGGGGCAAATTATGAGTCTCCCTTACACATCTTTAAGAAAACTGCAATATGTCATCTTTCCATCTAATTCCAGTCTTTCCCAGTATGCATTCCTCCTAATGTTATTCAGCTTAAAAGCATTTTAACTCACTGTAGCTTTGAGGATTCCTGAATGGCGTACACATGATACCCAGTCCCCAGATTTATCATTTAAAACAGAGGTGGGGGAATCTATGGCCGTTTTATGACTTGTGGACTTCAGCTCCCCCAATTCCTGAGCCAGCCATGCTGGCTCAAGAATTCTGGGAGTTGAAGTCCACAGGTAATAAAAGGGCCATAGTTCGCCACTCCTGATCTAAAAAGACATGTTAAAAAGGGACGAAGGGAGGAATGTTGAGGTAGGAAACTAACTCAGGAACAAAGTCTTATTGTAACCAACTGTAATGCAGGAAAGCAAACAACTCAGAGAGGGGAAACAAACAAACTTTCAGCTTCAGCAAATGGAAAGGCCCAGCTTCCATTTTTTTACATTTCTGTAACTGAATAGAACAGTTGCTGGTCAAGAGCTGAGGAAGGTAAGAGTCTGGAGGATTTATGTTTTAGATTTCATCTCCCACTAGCACAAGCAAACCTAAATAATTATTGTAAAAAATATAATCCAAATTATCTGGAGGGTACCATGTTGTGAAACATGGGGTTTTACCCTGACACTGACTTTCCAGAAGATGATAGACCAATCTTCCCATCCAAAATATTTTTAAACCTCTAGATAGGTACATGCAAAAATTGTCTGTTTGTGAATTCAGCATTCCAGACATTCAAGAATGTTGTGTTTCCCTCCAGACCATAATACTTCTGGGGGTGGAATGGGAGATTTCAGCAGTTTACAGAAGTAGCTTCTGAACTGGAAGTGTCTAGGGATTTCTGACCGAATACATATTTTGTCCAGAGCACCTTGAATCATTCACAATTTGGAGACAAGTGGGACTTTTCTTAGTTAACCAGAATGGCCCATCCCAAATTGATGAATTTTGCAACTCTCTATTGGGCAAGTATGTCAAGCATTTAATCTTCTGTGTGCAATGTATTTCCCCAAATATTTTAAACAAGATTGTATATTTTTATTGAAGACTGGGTGAAGCTAAAATCATATATATAACTTCACCCAATCATTCATTTTGCACCCAATCATTCATTCATACACACAGTTTTATTATTTTTACAAAGATCTCAAGGCAGTGACCATATCTAATACACCTTCCCTCTCCTATTTTCCTAACAGCAACAACCCTGTGACGTGAGTTGGGCTGTGATTGACCTTGGCCCAAGGTCACTCAACTGACTTTCATGGTTAAGGCAGGACTTGAACTCACTGTCTCTTGTTTTCTAGCCTGGTATCTTAACCACTAGACCAAGCTTGATAGAGGATATCAATGATTTCCCCCCTTTTAAACTCTACTCAAAATACCAAACTATGCAAAATGGCCCCATCCACTTGGGAGAAGATGCTATGTAAGTATGAAAGAAAAGCTAGCAACTTGCATGCAGCTCCAAGGTCTACAAGTTTCAGATCTTACTTCAGATTAATCTGAAAAGGGAGAAAGAATCAGTCTGAGCAATCTTTTCCTGCCTCAGCTAGGTTCTTTCATGCAACCCATGATTATGGGATATACTTGGAAATAGCCTAAAGCTCATGAAGTGCTAGTAAGATGGAACTTCTCGGTATTCAGAAATGTTAATTTCAAGTTCAGACCTAGTCTAAAACTGCTAGATTGGGGGAGTAGGCTGGCAATTTATATTCCTTGCAAACATTCTTGCAACATCTGGCTAACCACTCCTGAAATAAGATGCTGGATTAGGTGGATTTAACAGGAGTCTTTTTACACTATTACAATAACTTAGTGTGGTATAATGGAGAGCAGACTGACTTCAAAGCAGAGATCAAGGTTCATATTGCTGCTCAGCCTTGATTAGGCCTCTGCTTCTCAGTAGTGTTCTACGAGATCAATTGGAAAATACTTCAAAGTAAACCTCCCACCTCTCAATCACACCTCTTACCTGTCGGGGTTGGTCAACTGCTTTTTGGGGGTCAGTCTTCACTTTATTGCTGGGATGATTTGTGATCTTAGTGACTGGTTGCTTAAAAATTGAAGCTGTCTGCCTCACAGGAAGTGTGGTGTTTAGATCAGGTTTACCCTAAAGATGTGACAAGATAGGAAGTGAGCAATAAAAAAAACCATTCTGAAATTAAACTAAGATCTCAGTATACAATATTATGGAGTTCATGGTGATGCAAAAATGTTTTGAATTAAATTGTTTCTAATCTGAAATACCCTGTTTCAAATGAGAATCAGCTGGGAATAGGCTGTACATTTTTAGCCAGAAACAGCTATGTTCTAACTGCAAAGATTTGATTTTGAATTGAAAGTTTCAAAATGGTCCAAAATGACAATTTTGCAATTGAAGTGGTTTGCTTCTTAACATTTTCAAGACTCCTAAAACTTAAGTCTACTGGAAATTAAATGTCTTTGTAAATTTCAGATTTTTTAAAAGATACATGACAAGGAAAATAACCCTTTCCTTATGTTGTGATTCTGGAGAAATCACTCAACAAAAGAAACTTTTTTTTTGGCTACAATGAATTTTGTCCATTGGCAGCAATACAGAATTTTCTCGTCAGGAATGTAACAGAAGAGTTGCTTTTCTTTCATATCTATCTTGATCATGACTATCAGTTTTTCTTCCCAACACCATACAGCTTTTTAAGAGTATACAGAATGATCTTTATCCCTAATTTAGTTCAAGTCTTAGATCAACAGCTTGTCTTCAAATAAGGCAACTTTAGGAATCCAAGTATGTATGTATAGTAACCCATATCAACATTCTTGAAAAAAATTTATTGGAAAATACAGTTTTCAAGGACTATAAATTCAGGGGACTTAGAGGTATAATCTTGGGACTGATTAAATCTATTGACAACTGGTTTCATTGGTATTTATAGAAAGTTGAGATACTGAAAATGTGGTTGAACGCTGAGTGACAAATTGGGAAAATAGTATATCGATTGATACATAAAATATATTACCCTGTTTCTCCAACAATACGGCCTCCCCCAATAGGAAGTCCCAGCATGTTTTATAGGCATGAAATGAAATTAAGCCCCTCCCCCCAAATTAAGGCCTATATTAAAACATGAGAAATGGTGGGGAAATGGTGGGAGGGCTTGCCGTTAGGAAGTACTTTTGTTGCACACCTGGATATGGTGCTGCCTGCGTTGACCCCGATACAAAGTGCCCCACCAGCGCCGAGGTCAACATCCAAGCTGTCGCCACCCGCCTGCCCAAAGATGCAAGGGGGGGGGAATTAAGTCACCCCCAAAAAGATGACCTAGCCATTTTTTCGGGGCTCAAAAAAAAATAAGACCCGGCCTTATTATATGAGAAACACGGTATATAATTATAATGAGCACATTAAGGCTATAAGTTGGAAGATAAAAATTCTGTATATGTAAATGTATTATTACTGTGAGCACTATGTGAAAAATATGTCAACCCAGTCATTACACTGTCCACAAAAAATGTTGGATGTTGAAGAAAAACTATAAATAAACATATATAAAAAACAATTCTGATGTACTTTAGTGATAAAAAGCTACAAATTAGTACAGGTAGTTCCTCAACTGAAAACCATTTGTTTAGTAACTATTCAAAGTTTATAACAGTACTGAAAAAAGTGACGTATGTCCATTTTTTTCACTTTACAGCTGTTGCAGCAAATTCAGGTGCCTGGCAACCAAGATGTATTTAAGACGGTTACAGTGTCCTTGGGTCATGTGATCACTTTGTGCAGTCTTCTAATGAGCAAAGTCAATGGGAGAGCTAGAGTCATCAAACAACCGTGTTACTGTAGTGATTCACTTAACAACTGTGGCAAGAATTCTAAAATAAAGCCAAACTCTCTTAACAACTACCTTGCTTAGCAACAGAAATGTTGCTCTTAATTGTGACCGTAAGTCAAAGACTACCTATATAGGTCTTTGAGCGTAAGGCTGGTGCGCTAATAGATCCTACACTGAGTAGAAGGTTGGAACAGATGACTTCTAAGATTCAATTCTGATTTTATAATTGGAAATCCAGTCAGCTGTAATCAGGAAGGCCTTAAAATAATTTTATTTCAGCAAGTTTTTGAGCTCTAGGGAGATTATAAGCAGTTATCTGTTTTTGTTACTGCCATTATGATGATATTCCCCTGCAATTTTAAAAATAATTTTAAGTGATCAGATGTTCTATATCACAGTTTGCTTCTATGCACCACGCAGAGGTGGGAGATCTATAGAAAGTGCTAAATAAACTTTAAAAAAATAAATAATAGGAGCCTTAATTCATAATATCTGGTCAATAAAGTTTAGTGCCATTAATTAAGTCTCCAAGTGGCACATTCACGTCTATGAAAAGCAACACAGTGTACGGACAATAGAGTTTGATTGATGATTAAGGGCAAAGTCTGCCCTCTTAGACAAGGAGGGAAAGGCCCTACCTTAGATGTGGCATTTACTTACGTGTAGAGTAGTGATGGCGACCCTTTTTGTTGTGGTGTGCTGAAAACGCGCACATGTGCCGGCACCCACAATGCAATGTGCCCCCCCCCCGCATGCGTGAGTAACCTGCACTGGGCATGCACGCACCTCCCAGCTGATTTTCGGTCTGTTTGAGGCCATTTTCGCCTTCTCGGAGGCTCAAGGGAAGCCTCTGCAGCCTCAGGAGGCCGAAAAATACCAGAAGTGCCCATTTTCAGTCTCTGGAGGGCCTCTGGAGTCAGGGGGAGGCCGATTTCGCCCTCCCAGAGGCTTGAGAGAAGCCTCTGGAGCCCCAGGAGGCTGAAAACGGACCCTTTTCGGCACTTCCGGTATTTCCGGAAGGCCTGTTTTTCGGCCTCCCGAGCCTGCAAATGCTTCCCTCAAGCCTCCGGGAGGGCAAAGACGGCCTCTCCCAGGCTCCAGAGGCCCCCTGGAGGCTGAAAACGGGCACTTCCGGTATTTCTGGAAGGCCTGTTTTTTGGCCTCCCAAGGCTGCAGAGGCTTCCCTTGAGCCTCTGGGAGGGCGAAAACGGCCTCAAGCGGGCCGAAAATCAGCTGGGACGTGCGCGTATGTGCAGTGCAGGTAAGTCTGACTGGGGCTCGTGTGCCTGCAGAAATGGCTCTGCGTGCCACCTGTGGCACACGTGCCATAGGTTCGCCATCATGGGTATAGAGGATTCTAGGTTCAATTTCCAATTTAACAGCTAATGTTCACTTTTATTCTGGGAATATACATTTCCCTTTTATGCTTTGTCATAAAATAGTAACTTGGCCAGGAATAGTAAACTACAGCAAAGATCTAAAAATGGAATTCCCCAATCCATCCCTTTTTTGTTCGTAGTTTGTTACGTTTTTAAGATCATTTAGTTCACTTCCAATGAGGATTCATGGCAAACTAGATGTCTTTGAAGGAGCAGATAGCGAAATCAGCAGCCAGACATTTCTGACCAGCCAAGTCTCTCTGGATAAAGAAGCGTGTAAAATATTCCCATGTGTGATTCTGGACAGCCACTTCTTATAAGTAAACTAATGGCTTGCAAGTTGAACAGTTGAGAATCAAGGGATTCCATCAAGCTCAGACCACAATGTAGTCTTATGGACACACAAAGTTCTGCTGAATCTCATTTCCTAATCATTTTTGGAAATACTATTATAGATAATCTTTCAAAGATGTTTTGGAAGAGGAATAAGTTTTATCAGACTGAGATGGATCTTAGATTTAAAAATGGCAGGGTATAAGAATATGGGGAAAAAATGTTGCACTAGGTGTACAAATGAAACTGCTATCTTAACAATTAAAAGGGATATAGAAATGGCAAACCAAAAGAATGACCTTATGTTGAATTTACAAAAGAGACCTGTTAAAGTTCTTAAGGATTCAGTGAGAAGAGAAAAAGAAAAATGAAAAGTAAGCTCTAGGACACTATTTGAAGGGATTAAAGACCAAGATTGTTAAAAGTAAAAAGAGTATACAGTAGGTTTATTAGATCAAGGTTAAAATAGATATGTTGTCATATCAATTTTCTGGTAACCCTTAATGGACTTTTGATGACTAGGACTGAATGATGAAGTTTTAAGGATTTTTTTATACATAAAGGAGTATTTTAAGAGAAAGTGATTGTTAAAATTGTTTATAATTGTTGTGACAAAGAGCAAACCATTTCTTTATAATGATTTTCTTTTTCTTTGCTTTATTCTTTCTGTTTATCTAATCTACCTACCTACGTTCTTAACTGCCCCCCTCCTTCATAGAGGGGCTCTGGGTGATATACAGTTTAATCAGTATAATAAAACATTAAAAACTAAATAATTAAAAATTATTAAAAAGAGTTCCAAGATGGGGAAAGAAGTTGCTAATACAGGCGGGGCAGGGGTGGGTTCTCAAGTGGCCAACAAGCCCTATGGCTATGTGGGCTCCTATGTCCACCCATGCAAGGCTACACAGCCAGGTTTTGACCTCTTTGCAGAAGGCCAAGAGACTGGGGGCTTTCTTCACCTCTGAGGCCACAGTAGAAAATACCCTCTTCCTTGACCCCGCCATTTTTTTCTCTCTGGTTTTTTTTTTTTTTTTTTTGCAATTTAATTTTTTTCTAGTTTGTATTAATTTTATTTATTTAACTGTAATGCTTAATAAAATGCACATATATATAAAATAAAATCATTTGGTTCAACCAGACATTTTGTTTGGAATCAAGAATCTTGGATATGTTTTTGTCTCCCATTTGCTGAGATGTTACGTTAGAATTTTTATGTGAAATCTATTTTAAGTGCTATCTGCTTCAAGTACAAGTTATTAAAGAAAGAGCATTAATGACAAAAGTAAATAGACTTAATAAGCCATATCACCATGAGCATTTAGAGTTCAATTGTAATTCTCTCCCTGTAGCCAATAGGGTATTCATTTTTTTAAAAAAAGAGAGGAAAAAAAGACCACCCTCACCTTGGTTTGGCTTGAACAGTCATAGCGCATCCTTTGCCGGTTTTTGTTCACCTTGCTCATTAGCATCTTCCCTGTTCGGAAGTCAAACGAGCTCAGGTCCATGGAGTTACCCAAGTAACGGGCCAGCTGAGGTTTGCTGCGGAATTTCTTCCCACTTGGACTGAGAAACGGACCGAATTTGAACGGGGAGGGATGGAAAGAAGAACAAATTTAGCTTTTGAACTCTGGGCAGCATGTGTTAGAACTATAGCCGAAATATAGCAATTAGTTTGGGGCTGTTTGCACTTATCCCTGCAAAACCATAATGGCTTTGTTCTGGCAGTTAACAGACTCCCCCCCACCTGCAATTCAGTAACTACAGATGCAACAAAGCTAGTTAGCAGCAAGTCACTTTCATCATTGCTGAGGACACTGTGGGCAATATAATGCACACAGAAGATCAATGGTGAAGTTAGACTTTGTAAAGGGGATGGATTAAGAGCTATAACTTAAAATTAAGACTTGTGCAACTGCTCAATACAAACAGAAATAATTCCAAAACTACCATTTTAGCAGCACGATACAAACATGCAAAGAAGTCCTCCTGATTTAAGGCCTGCAAGCCATTTGTGAGGAAAGTGTCCCACGTGGATTATTATGCTTTTTTACTAAAAAAAAAAAGTGAATGTAGAAAGCATTTCTGATCCTCCATTGTTCAACCAAAGATAAAAAAGCAGCTGCAAAGCAATGGAACCAATTCTCCACGCTTGCCTGTCTTAAAGGTATGCTGGCATTGTGAAGTTTTCCATGGTATCCTTCAGACTGTTTACAAAAAAAAAGCTGTCTGCTTTTCTTTCACTCCTTTATTTAGAGTGTTACTTGAAATTCACAGACTTATGAGAACATACATGGGGCTTCAGGGGGGAAGAAAAGGGGAGAACTTAAAATGAATACATTGCAACCTATTCAAACTGGATTGAACAGCCTCCAGATGTCTACTCTGCACAGACAACCTGGACTCTTTGTTCTTTTACATTCTGATTTGCAAGGGAAAATGTATCTTTGTCCCAGTTACATGCAAATTCATTTCCATCACCAATTATCTAGCTTCAGGAAAGCACACACAGACATTTTACAGAACAGAGAGAAAAAAAACAAGGGGTTTAATTAAAACAAAAGCAAAAGTGTAACAAGCAGTAATTTTTGAGCAAGTGAGTAAAATACAGCAGTTTTCAAACTGTCTCCTTTCAGGGATCACCCTTTCTCACTAAGTCTAGGTATCCAGAATACTTTTACAAGGTAATTTATGTCTATCAAGCCTTATTATTTGCAAACACACTCAGTTCTTGTGGTCACTAAAATCTTTGCATAGCTGATTCCTACATCAGACAATAGTGAGGATATTCTACTCCCCCTCACACCCCCAGAAATAAAGCTCATCATTCCTTATTTTTTCAAGGACAAATGTTGTATTAGAGAAAGATCAGAGAATACAAGCTGAAAGTCACAAGTACCAACAGTACATCAATTTAATTATGATCATTTGTACAACACACTAAATGAATGTGTGAGATTACCTAGACAGATCACTGATTTATTGGCTTAGTATTGTCCACTTCACCTGGCAATAAATGCTCAGATCTCAGGCAGGCAGAAACAAGTCTTCATCACTCATACAATTATTTTAACATCAGATCCCAGCATGCAAAGCTGAATCATCACTTGTACTCATAAGTGCCTTGCCTGAGTCATATCATTAATATATTATTTGCTCCAATTTCCTCTATTTCCAGAGGTCTTAAATACAGATTTTGCTCATCTCTTGCTTTACCAAGATCCATTTACATAAATACAGCATCAAAATCTTACACTAAAACTATCAGGTACTTAAAGAATTCAAGCAGTGTGATGCAGAAAACCATCGTAACAACTGTTATTTAAGCATAATTACAAGAGCTTTACTAAACCAATCCAACTTCTATTCAAAACAGCTTGAATTAAACATCTGTAGGATCCATTAGGAAGGTAGACTATTTAGACAGGACCCTCACAAAAAGCTTTATTTTTTTAATTAGCTAGTTGATCCATACATATATCTGTAGGTGGTATCTGTAGAGGGAAGTACTATACCTTAGCTCAGATTTAGAGCTTAATAGCAACATTTCAAATAGAGGCAGGAACTGAATAGGCTTTAAGATTGGATGAATGCACCAGCAAGCATACAAGCAACCATCCTATAAGGCAAGTGTGTATATTTCATTTGGGGATCTTTAATGCTGAAAAGCAGGTAAGTGTTTTATAAGGAAATAAAGTTAAGGTTAGGATTAGACACATCAATGAAAAAATACATATAGTCTAGAATAGACAACTGGCAGCCCACCAACATTTTCAGAAGTTTAATTTACTGATGCCATCCAAAGATACAAGCTGCTACGTCACCAGTGCTGTCCTTCTGTTAGCCACCAAACTCATTGATCAGCACACCAGATATTATTTTGTGGTTCAGGATTCTTTTAATTTATTGATGTGGCCTTTTCTTCCTTTACATGTTGTTCGTGACTAGTCTAGACCAATTCTCAGTATACAAATCCCAAGACACTCTATTATTATCAAAATATGGGTGTTACAAGTGTTTTCCCCACCTAAAACTAGTGTTAAAAATTATCAGACATCCACTTAATTATATCTAGGGTTTACATGTTCTGCCTTTACTTCCCTCTCTTCTCAATTCATGTGAATTGGTATCTGAAGGATGCAATTTATAAGCTTATAAACATGCAATAATCTTTTCCTCTGTACTGCAGTTCTAAATCCCACCTCTACTGCTTCCTGAATAAACAAGCACAAGATGCCATCTCACAGCCTTCTTCCATGAGGCTAGAAGTCAGGCGGAAGACTTTTCATGCATTGGCAGTCTGACATAATTTGATATATTATAATGCTACCAGCAGCACATTGAAAAGATTAGCAGCCACAATGCAATTTGTTTAGTTCTTGCTTAAGTGTGATTTGTAAACCCAGACTTATTTAACAAATCATGATTAGTGAAATATGTGAACGTAAGTTACTAGTAAGGTATCTTTATGCAACAGACTATCTTCTCTTATTACTAGAAATACTGTGACTATATTGTAAGAGGTTAGGGGGGAAATTGTTTTGTATCAGACAAACTTACAGCTTCTACCAACTCATCTTCTGCAGTCTTTCTGCTTTCCATACACCCACATGGAAGCATTGTGAAAGCATCTCAGAGTTGTCTATGTAAGCAAGCTAAAGGAAACCAAAGTGGCAACAACAGTACTACCATACTTCGTTATTTTTTTGCCTACACACATCCTTAAATGGCTCTGTTTCTACCCTGCTCCCTCTATCTTTTCTTGATTAGCTTTCTACAATGTTTCTAGTTTAGTGGTATAGCAAAAAAAAGAGCAGCTGGGTCATCTACTATTCTGCAGATTGGGGCTTCCCCTCATTTACAAAGAAACTCAGTTCTCTTATTTCCTCCCTAAAAACTCTCTTGCACTTAGGATAGCACTTCTGACAATTTAGTTATCATACACTGATTCCAATTGAATTTAGACTATCAACTGAATTTAAATTTATTTGAATCAAATTTAGATTATTAGGCCTGAAAGCTTGGCTGGCTGACTTTGGAAAGTTGCTCTCTCTCAGCCCAACTTACCTCACAGGATTGTTGTGTGGAAAATAAGAAGAGGAAGGAGTATTAGGTATGTTCACCACTTTGAGTTATTTACAAAAATGGTGTGTGGGGGAAAATCTAAAAACAACTCATGCATTCTCCATGTGACTCCCACAAGGCATTTGGGTTTTATGTATTTTAAAGCCTCATGTTCTCTCTGTGCCACTCTTTCAAATTCTCAGCAAATCTGAACCATTTAATAAATATTAGAAAAACACAATGTCTTCATCTCTGAAAGCACTTTTGAACAAGTTATTACTGATTCTGTGTTATATTCTGATATACATACATCTCCATTCTAAGTTTTAAAGGCCCCTTGAGTTAAATTTTGTACTAAAAATGAAATCTGAAATTAAGAATTTATTTACTGCTTGAAATGGTGGGTAGACTCCAATTGGTTAATGTGGGGATGTTGTGGCAGGCCAGCTGGCTTGTACAGTTTGAGAACCACTGCTCTATTCAATATAAAAGTCTGTTTCTCTCCAGAGAATCCCATATTGATATATCTCAAAACCCAGATGCAAAGTCAATGGAAAGGGGTGTAGCTCCGTAGCCCCAAAGACAACAAAAAGCAGATAGCAACTTAGCTCTTCCATCTTGAAATAACAGCGTAAACTTCCACAGAAGAACATCTTGCAATTGCAACAGGATTGTAATTTCTTAGCACGTAGATACTGAGAGACTAACCTGCCCAAAATTCACTAGGGGAAATCACAATACTTCAACTCTGATACAATAGTAGTAATCTAAAATCAGCTCTACTTGAGGATATAACACCAAGTGACTGGACTTTTAAGATGTGAAATTGTCATTTGTAGTTTACTCCACTGCTGACTGAGAGAAAGCCATTGGCAACACTCCTTTCAAGCGATTTTTTAGCTAAATCCAGAACAAGGAATGTCTGTAGCTTATATCAAACCTTTCAAAAATGCTAAAGATGCCATTCTCAGCCCTGAAATCTCTAGCACAGCACACATGCAAAGGTTGGAAGTAACCATTAATTCCTGCCCCATTTGACATGCAGAAACCAGTTTCGCCCCCTCCCCACAGAACTGGACTTTCCACAGTAGCTGCAAACAGGGGATAGGAAAGACCAGCTATATCTTCATCATGCAGAAAATGCAGAATGAGCAAACAGGCTCCCCCTTTGTATGCATATGTTTGCAATGAGTCTTACAGCAGCAAGCATGTAAAGATAAAGATAGGTGGTGGCGGCGGCCACAGCAGCCTCATCACCCCCCTCCATCTTCCTCCCTTCCCACCGCCAACCCTCCCTACCCAAGGCCCCTCCGCCGTGGCACATTCACCTATAATAATAGACATCACTCTTGCCAGCAGAGAGCCCCGATTTTCTGGTCACTTCTTCCCTTTTCCATCCCTGCGGGAGAGCTGAGCACTCCCACCTCTTCCGATCCATTGCTTCCACGATGCCTGGGTCTGGATCTGGATCGAGCCAGCCTCCTCCTCCTCCTCTGGATCCTGCCTGCCTGCTTGCTCCAAGATCCCTCCCAGCCAGGACTGCGGTGGTTTGCTTGCTGCTACTTGCTGGCTAGCTACTATTGCAGCTGGTGGCGACTGCAACCTCCACTCTGGCTTCCAGGACCAAGCTCTTCCAGAGTGCCTCCCTCTGCTGGGACTGGAACCTTCGCAGTGGCTGTTCCTTTCAGTAGCTGTCAATCGCACCTCCCACTCCTCACTTCACCCGCTGAATGGGGGCGCTGTTCCTTTTACCCGACCGCCGAGCTTCTTTGCTTGCATCATCAGCTCTTCTCAGGAACTCCCTTCCCTCCCGCTGCTGTCTCCCTCATTCATTCCTTTTGCTTTTTTCCCTTACAACGCACGTGAGCCTCCCCTCCGCGGCTGTTCCATTCATTCATGTTCCTCCCGCCGTACGAAAGAATGAGGTAGAGTGAGCGCAGGCACCCGTTGGTGAAAAGCCAAAAGAAAAAAAAAAGTCCACTTCCCATCCCGCCAAATTAAAAAGCTCCCACATGGTATCCCTCCGCTTTGGCAAGAATATAGTCCGCCTGCGAGATTTTTTTTTTTAGCCACTTATACGTGAACGGGCGCTAATACAGGCACCTGCTGCCAAAAGCACTGACAGGGCTCGGGGTTTTCTTCCTAATAAAACAAATCCCGGTTCTACACTCACAATCTCATTTCTTCTCACGATCATGTGCTTCGTTCTCTACGTGTGAACGCTGCCTCTCGTGTTCAACTCCGGCCACTTTCCCAACCGCCACCCTTTCTCTAGGCTCCCATGAAGCTTCTCATGGAGCCCGGACTTTAGCCAAATCCCTGCGACCACTTCCCCAGAAGCAGCGCGGGCTCTGCAAACCGCCTGGAGTTCCTGCCCGAAAAGGCGGCATCCAAAACCTACACGGGAGTTCATATTCAAACGGCTCCCGGGCCGGCCGGCTTTTGCATTCTCCACCGCACATCCTGGCTCTTCGAGGGAAACTTCGCCCACCCCATACGCCAACGGTCTCCACTGCTCCCCATTGCCTGTCCCAGGACCCCGCTTGCTTGGACAGGCCCCACGGGCCTCCCCTCCGCCCCCGAGGCTTTCTTCCCAGTTCCTCGCTCCCCTTCCTTTCACACACGTGCCTTCAGCGCCTCCGCCCCCCAGATCCTCTCACAGGCTGCCTCGCCTGCCTGCCTGCCCGCCCTCTCCTTCCCTCCCGCCCGCCCCGGCCGTTCGTAATTATCGACGGGCGTTTAATGGCACCTAGCGTTCTACCACGCCAAGGCCGCCGTCTTCTCCGTCGGGGGAGCTCGCTGACCACCCCCCGGGACCCCCAGCCCCTCCGCCGCCAGCAAGGCCTTTCCTCCTCCCCTCCCCGCCGGCAAACCGTCCCCTTACTCCACCCCACAGCTCAGCCCTCCCCGTTCTTCAAAACTCCCGCCCCATAGCGCGCGCGCGCCTCACCGACCCGCTTTCTTCGGCAGCTCCACGGGCGGCGCTCTGAGGACCTCCTGGGGGGATCCGAAAGCCGCCTCCCGGGCCCCTTCCCCACGCTTCCGCTCCGTTGTGTCGCCCGAGGCTGGCGGAGCCCCCCCTCCCCCTCTAAGGGCTCGAGAGCGTCCATTTCCCGCATCGCCTCACCTAAGCACCCCTCCCCTCCCGGCGTGCCCCCCTCCTCAGCCTGCCCCAGGGCACTCCGCGCGCCCAGACTTTTTCACCAGAGCCCCTGCTCCGCGGCCGCGCTTCTAGCCTAGCTGACCGGCTCGGCTCGTGCCCTGAACCTTATCCGTGGTTTCAGTCCCCCCCCCCCCCATGTCGCGGGCACACCCCTTCCCCAGGCTCTCCTGTGCGCTCACCCCAAAGGAAGGCAGCGCGGGCTCCCTCTCGGACCCCCGGGTGCCCCCGGCGCCTTGGCCATCTTCCTCTTCCCCGGGCGGTGCAGCGGGCGCCACGTGGTCCCAAAGCCCAGGACCCCCCGCTCCTTTCGACCCCAGAAGCCCCGCCCCGCCGGGCCAGCCCGCAGGGGACGAAGGCGGGGTGGGGGTGGGGGGGGAAACGGCCGCGAGCACGTGAAAGGCGCCTCCGCTTCACCCCCCGCGGCCTTTGGCGTCGAATTCCGGCTTCCTCCCTCGGCGCCTGTGGCTCGTGCGTGGGATCCGTTGCGCTCGTTTCCCCTTTTTAAATCAGGATGCGAGCTCAACAGGTGAGGCCTGCAACGCTTCCTCCGCAAACTGCTGCCCGCGATCCTATTATCTCTCTGCATCATCAACGGGGGCCCGGGGGTTTCTAGGAATCGTCTCCAGGACCTCAAGATCTTTGGGGCTTCCCAGTTTATACATACCTTGAAATTATAAAAATTACGAATTGACGTGTGTGTGTAGCCTCAACGTTTTCAAGGGGTTTGAAAAACAACATCGTTCCTCGGTGGTTAACAGTCTTATGAACACAAAAGAGAAGAGCAAGTGCGAAAAGAACCAGCACTTTACATTTATACTTTCTTTTGCTCATAGAAGCAGTCATGCTAGCTTACAATAAATATAATGCAACATGCCATGATTACAATCACCTAACAATTGAAACCCTAGTGATAGTGACTCATCTTGCCATGTTCCTAAATTGTAGGAGAATGCCCCCCCCCCAATGCTTCTCCCTGGGGAGAGCTATCCATGTCTTTAAAAAGTGCACAAGAGAAGGGCCACCATCACCAATAGTTGAGCTGGCTGGGAGAATCTATTCAGAAGAACCTCTCCTACAGATTTCCTTAATTAGGCAGCTTCATTGTGGGCAACAATACACTGAAACCAGCCTTGAGCTGAAAGCTGCAAATGCTCCAGGTGGGCCTTCATTTAAAATAATAATAATCTGGTTATGATTTGTTAAACAACCAGTGGATGGACCATGAATTGGAGCAGGGTGACAAGCAAAATGTGTCAGAGAATGCATACCAAATAGGCTGAAAAACCCCTTCTATCCCAGGGCAGTAGCTCTGTTGAATTCTGTTGAATGGTGCAGTGTTGGTGTGGTGTCGGGGTTTTCAATTCAATGTGCAGTGTGAAAGATAGGTGTTGGTGTTTATTTTCATGGTCATGATGTGCACTGAAAAGGGTGTTTTTGTTGTACGAGGTGCAATGACAAAATAAATTAACTAAATGGAGTGACCAGAAGAGATCATCAGAATTTCAGAAAATTCCCAACTCCTTGCTGCCATCTGCAGGTTATTTAAACGATTGTACTCCATAGCCTGGAGTTCTAATACTTGGAAAACCAGTATTCCAAAAAACATTTCAGGTATCTCCTCAGCTGATTCCTCCAGCTGCTGTTTTTTTTTTTTTTCGGTAAACAGATTTGTTCTCTCTAATGTAGCAGCTTGTAAGGTTAGGAAAGAAAGATCTGCTTGGAGACCTAGTGAGTAGGTAGAGAAGCACTCAGGTAGAGAAGCACTTCAGGTAGAGAAGCACTCCTTCATATATTCAGGCCTACAGTCTTAAGGCTTTAAATTATGCCTGGCAAGTGCAGCTCTTTCAATGTAGACATCATGTGGTCCTTGTACTTTGCACCAGTCAAAGTACAAGGCTTCTGCCTTTTGTGCCAGTTGTAGCTTCTGAATTATGTTTCAAGCATGACCTTCCATTGCAGTAGTCAAGGAAATCTTTAAAAAAGAAAATTCCTTAGCTCATATGGACAGGATGACATAGTACCCTTACCACTGGAAGCTCAGATGAAAAGATGCAGACATTAGCCATCCTCTGAGATACAAATTTGATCACTATTGTGAATCCAAATTTTGTTTTCCTAACATTTGCATTAGCATGGAGTTTCCATTGCTTTATGATTACGTGCCATCAAGTTGGTATCAACACATATTCTCCATGATGATTTGCTCAACTGATTCTTTTAAGTTTTTCAAAGGTGCACTCATTGCTACCCTCTATGAGCCCACCCACCTTGCTGCTGGTCATCTTTTTCTTTTCGTCCCCCTTTCTCAGCATTAAAGCTGAGCCAGAGAGCTGAGCTTTCACTTAAAGTTATCTGATGTGAGATAATTTGGGACTGGTCAATTGTGCAAGAACTGTAGGTTGATTTGTTCACTGATCCATTGGTTTGTTTTCTTGGCTGTCCACAGTATTCTCAGGAGTCTTAACACCAAAATTCAAAGTTGTCAATACTCTCCCATCATCTTTTGAAGTGAAATTGCTTTATAAGCATTAAAAAGAAATCTGTGGGAACACATCTGGCAAACAAATTACAAATTAACCATGTCAGTCTCGTATAAAGAAAACTTATATAAAATGGTTCATCGCTGGCACCTACCTCCTGTGAGACTGGCTAAGATGTTCCCCAACCTACCACCCAACTATTGGAAATGTAACTAAGCACAAGAAACATATTTTCACATGTGGTGGACTTGCCCATGTGCTCAGAAGTTTTGGAGAAATATTAGAAATTGGATTTTAAATGTAACAAAACAAAATTTAAAACTTGAACCTGAAACCTTTCTGCTAAGTATGATAGATTTAAACATGGAGAAAAAATATCAATATTTAATTTTGCACATCATAACTGCGGCCAGAATAACCTACGCACAAAACTGGGAACTGTCTTTCATTCCTTCAGAGGATATGGTAATTAAAAAAATACATGAATGTGCTGAGATGGATAGCCTAACCAAATTGTTAAAAATTAAACAAGATAGTGACTATTATGAAATATGGAACATTTGGTATGATTGGTTAAAGAAAAGGTAATATTTGATATTTGGATAAGTTATGGAAATGACAGATGTGCATTTAATTATAAACTATATAGAGAAATTTAAACAAAAAGAATGAAGGAGTTATTGTAACAAGGCAGATCACGTCAATGATAAAGAAAAAAAATTAACCATTGCTCAATATACGCTGTAAAATATGTGTGTGTGTGTGTGTGTGTGTGTGTGTGTATGTTGATTTGTCTGTTTTAAATGTATGTCAAATGTTTTTTCTATAATAAAAAAAATAAATCTGATAATAGATTTAGCAGATCAATTGGGGAAGGAAGCAACTTTTAAGCTGCTTAGATGCTAATGAAGAATAGGATACAACCTAAAATATTTATGCCTTTACTATCCGTTCTCTTTTACCCTTATAACACTGTTTTAATGTTTTTGCAAATTTTTGTACATTTCAATGTACAATGCTCAAAAAAATAAAGGGAACACTTAAACAACACAATGTAACTCCAAGTCAATCACACTTCTGTGAAATCAAACTGTCCACTGAGGTAGCAACACTGATTGACAATCAATTTCACATGCTGTTGTGCAAATGGAATAGACAACAGGTGGAAAGCATAGGCAGTTAGCAAGACATCCCCAATAAAGGAATGGTTCTGCAGGTGGTGACCACAGACCAACTCTCAGTTCCTATGCTTTCTGGCTGATGGTTTGGTCACTTTTGAAGGCTGGCGGTGCTTTCACTCTAGTGGTAGCATGAGACGGATTCTACAATCCACACAAGTGGCTCAGGTAGTGCAGCTCATCCAGGATGGCACATCAATGCGAGCTGTGGCAAGAAGGTTTGCTGTGTCTGTCAGCGTAGTGTCCAGAGCATGGAGGTGCTACCAGGAGACAGGCCAGTACATCAGGAGACCTGGAGGAGGCCGTAGGAGGGCAACAACCCAGCATCAGGACTGCTACCTCTGCCTTTGTGCAAGGAGGGACAGGAGAACTGCCAGAGCCCTGCAAAATGACCTCCAGCGAGCCACAAATGTGCATGTGGGTGCTCAAGCGGTCAGAAACAGACTCCATGAGGGTGGTATGAGGGCCCGATGTCCACAGGTGGGGGTTGTGCTTACAGCCCACGTTTGGCATTTGCCAGAGAACACCAAGATTGGCAAATTTGCCACTGGCGCCCTGTGCTCTTCACAGATGAAAACAGGTTCACACTGAGCACATGTGACAGACATGACAGGGTCTGGAGACGCCGTGGAGAACATTCTGCTGCCTGCCACATCCTCCAGCATGACTGGTTTGGCAGTGGGTCAGTAATGGTGTGGGGTGGCATTTCTTTAGGGGGGCGCACAGCCCTCTATGTGCTCGCCAGAGGTAGCCTGACTGCCATTAGGTACCGAGATGAGATCCTCAGACCCCTTGTGAGACCATATGCTGGTGCGGTTGGCCCTGGGTTTCTCCTAATGCACGACAATGCTAGACCTTATGTGGCTGGAGTGTGTCAGCAGTTCCTGCAAGACAAAGGCATTGATGCTATGGACTGGCTCGCCCGTTCCCCAGACCTGAATCCAATTGAGCACATCTGGGACATCATGTCTCGCTCCATCCACCAACGCCACATTGCACCACACTGTCCAGGAGTTGGGGGATGCTTTAGTCCAGGTGTGGGAGATCCCTCAGGAGACCATCCGCCACCGCATCAGGAGCATGCCCAGGCGTTGTAGGGAGGTCATACAGGCACGTGGAGGCCACACACACTACTGAGCCTCATTTTGACTTGTTTTAAGGACATTACATCAAAGTTGGATCAGCCTACAGTGGTTTTTTCCACTTTAATTTTGAGTGTAACTCCAAATCCAGACCTCCATGGGTTGCTAAATTTGATTTCCATTGATAATTTTTGTGTGATTTTGTTGTCAGCACATTCAACTATGTAATGAACAAAGTATTTAATAAGAATATTTCATTCATTCAGATCTAGGATGTCTTATTTTTGTGTTCCCTTTTTTTTTTTTGAGCAGTGTATTTTGTTAGTGTTTGGCCACTTTCATGCAGGTTTTTATTTTTTACAAGCAGTGGTCAAAACAATAATTTGATACAAGTTAGCTGATAGTCATTTTCTTCAGTTATTAAGAATTTAGATAACAAAAAAATTAAGCTGATGATTCCCCTTAGAAGTCTGATTTTTGCTGTCTTTTGTCAGTGAATAAAAATGCATTACTAAAGACGTTACTTATTCCCCCCCAAATTTGCCTAGTAGCAGTGCTTGTGCTGATATTTATAATCGGTTACATATTGGCTTAGAACTAAATGTCAGAGTAATTTTTCCTATTTAAAATCCATCTCTAAGAACATTTATAGTTTTGGGTACTGCAAGTTTTTAGAGGAAGTCAGCAGGCTGAACAGAAGCAGGCAACAGAAATCAGTTGCTTTCCAATTTGGATCACGTAACCAACCATTGCATATCATCATCAGACTACTATCACTGTCCCTTTCTTATCTTCCTTTTTACAGAACTCTAACAGTGAATTGTTGTGCCCTTGTATATTACAAGAACAGTTTGTATTGGTAAATTATTTACTTTCCATATAAAGTAAATAATTTGAGAGGGGAAGGGGGGGAGAGGAAGAGAGAACAAACTCATTTTTTTTGTGTTCACTTGAGATGGCATTTTCCCAAACCTTTTTGAAAACATACAAGCTAAAAGAGTTATGCATGCAGAGATGCTACAGGGAATTGGCTGTAGGGATATTAGGAGCCCTGGAGGTGCTTGATTATGATAGAGGTGTACTGTGACAGGATTCAAGAAGCCCTGGTGGCACATTGGTTAAGTGCAGTATTGCAGGCAAACTCTGCCCACAACCTGGAGTTCGATCCCGATGGGGCTCAAATTGACTGAGCCTTCCATCCTGAGATTGGTAAAATGAGGACTCAAATTGTTGGGGTCAATATACAAATAATGCTTCTATATTGTAAACCGCCAAGATAGCACGGGGGGGGGCAGTATATATGCTTAAATGCTATTGCTATATTTGTTGGGCTTCCAAGGAAGGTTCAAGTTAATGTTCTCTTAGTATCTTACAATCTGAGCTTACAATCTGGAAGCTGCCATATCCAAATATTTTGTAGAAATATTTGTCAGAAGATGTTTCAATATCCAGCACTAAGCAAGGTCTCTATAGTTCTTAAAAGGGAATATGGAAGTTATAGTCTAACATGGGAGGAGGAAGCACTGAGTAGGGATGTAATGTTAACAGGAAAACAAAACTGAAATGCTGTTACATGGGAAGTGCAATGATGTAGAACAGTTATTTTTTTCAACAATTATGCTAGAAGAAAAATCAGGCATGCCTTTTTTTCTGGGATTCAAACTCATAAACGTAATTTTCTACAAAACAACCAAGATAGGTAAAGTGAACATTCACATACACAGGTATCTGTTCAATATTAAGCAAATTTTAAAATCTACATATATTTGATTGCATTGATTCATACAATAAATACCCAGAGAGGGAAAAAGAAAATACATTGCTGCATAAACCCCATGAGGTAAGACATTTATTGGTTAGGACAGGACATTATGTGGCAACTGCTTGTTGAGAATAAAATGAAGCTGTTGTGCACTTTCACGGAAGGTGACATCAGAGATTCAGACCAGGGACATCAGAGAAGCAGCTTCCCCAAATCAAGGTAGGCTGGCCTGCAGGAGAAGAAGAAGGGAGTAGGGAGTAGTAGTAGTAGAAAGGTAGTGAGTGCTGGATAAATGCAAACTGATGAAAAAAAAAAAAAGAAATATAGAATGCCAATGTTAAACAGCTATGAATGAATGAATGAACGAACGTAAAGAGAATGAGAACTGAATCATAAAACAAACAGGTGAAACTAAATGAGTTGAGAGGAAGGTGGACATTGAGAAAGTCTTTGGAGGGAATGAAAGATCCTCAAAAAAGAGATAATTACCTATAATTTAACAAAGGACAATGTACAAGGCAATATATCTGGCAGTGAGGTATCAATATATAGAAGATAGAAGTAAGGATAGTTAGCCAAGACAGAAAGGTATTGAAGTACAGTGAATAGTACTGATGCAAACTGGATTTGGCTTTCTAAGTTCAGACTTTATTTTGCATACCACAAGTGGTCGTTAATTTATGATCATAATTGAGTCCCACAATTATAAATCATAATGGTTGTAAAGCAATCATCATGTGACCAGATGTGATTTACAACTTTTTTTGCAGTGGTCATAAAGTGAATACCAGAGTCATTAAACGAATGCTGCAATCATTAAACCCATTTTCACTATGGAATTGTTTTTGCCAGAAATAAATGCTAGTTTCCAGCCAAAATGTCATAAATTGCAGTCATATGATCATGGGGCACTGCAAATGACCATAAATGCAAGTCAGTTCCAAGTGCCCAAAATGTGGTCATGTGACTGTGGAAGGGGAGGCAGATGGAGGAATTTTGAACCTGGTTTGTAAGTAACTTTTTCAGGGTCTCTCATAACTTCAAACAGCAACTAATTGATGGTTGAAGTTATGGCAGACCCTGAAAAAGCTACTTACGATCCTTCTGCATAAGTCTTTCCTTTTCTGAGTTCTGCATAATCTTGCTTCACCTTTAGGTAATAAGAGTAATGAACCCATGTATTTGTATTGTCTTATAATAAAAGTTAAAAAACGTCTTGCTTTGTTTTATCTTGATACTCCACAGGAAGAAATCTTTTCTGGGATGGGAGTGCCATGTAATGATCCAAGCACTTTCTTTGCTTGCAGAAGATCAATTTCTGGTGGCTGCCAGTTTTAAAAAGAGCAATCTAGCAAGCAATGAATAATATCCAATATTCTTGAAAGATTGGCAGAACTGCTGCAATTCAAAGCAAAAATTATGGATCAAAATGGATGAACTGCTGCCTAAGAAAGGCTTCTTTTTAAAAAAATATGTTCATAATATGTCCTTTAACTCATTCCATTCCATTCCTAAGGTAAATTTATTTACGGATATCAATCAACCACCCTCCTCCCAAAACACTGGGTGGTTTACAGGAATAAAACAAAAATATAAATTAATATACTCTGTGTTTTGATAATCAACACGTACAAAAAAATCCCAGCAGCCTTATCATATCTCATATAACCAATAATAGGAATCAAACGCCCCTAAACTCTTCACAGCCCTGCACAAGATCAACAAGGTGAGCCACTGGATGCAGCATGGTGGAGGCCATTAAACCAGACTGCCCTTGGACTCATGTCCACTTAATTTTTCATAAGGATGGGATTCTACATTCACCACATAACTCAAATGTTTATCTTGCCAGATTGTGGGTTCTCAAATATAGAAGTGCTTTGAAAAGGAACTTGGCAACATCACGTCTAACCTGCTTCATATTACTTATCCAGACTTTAGTTCTGTCAACAGACATCAAGAGCACAACTCCTGCAAGTGGCTTAGACAAAAGGCAGTATCTCAATCAGCATCTTTATCTTTCTCATCACTTGGCTCCTAACTCAGGTGTTCCCCAACCCCTGGGCTGTGTTCCATTTCTGGCCCATGGCCTGTTTGGAACCGGGCCCTGCAAGTGGTTATCTGGCACATGGAAGCTCAACTTGCGTGAGCTGTAGGCTGTCATGCATGCGTGTGCAGAGCTCAACTTGCGTGAGTGGTGGGCTGGTATGCATGCCAGCCCACTACTTGTGTTGGCTGATTTCCTCTCCCCCCCCCCCCTCAAGACCACCAAGCTATAAAGATTGGGGACCTTTGTAAGTGTCCTAACTGGCTATGATAAAGATTGAATATGCTTCCGTTCTATAAAAATGGAAAAGCATGGAACACAAATAGCTGGAAGTGGGATTACGATGCAGAAATCTGAGGGATTAAAAGTCTGTTTCAAAAGGAAATTAGTAACAAGGATGAGAAGCATTCAAATAAAGCCTAGAGAAAAGAGAGTGTGAGGTTAATACATTTGTGATATGGGGGAGAAGGAAGCCCACAAGATACATAGAGGAACATAGAGAAGGAAAGAAAGAGCTGAGAGAGCTAAGCAGGTACATATGAAATATTTTGTGTATTAATTCAAGAAAGTTATTAATGTTTCTGGTTGCAGGATTTCATAGCAATATTCATAAGTTTAGTGATTAAGGATTTAAAAAAAAACATCTTGATGGCCTTCCTGCCAAGACAAAAATTATGCTTGCCAAGAGGTGTGATTTTTCAACTACTGGATCTTGGAGCTCTTCTTCACGTCACAATTTGAAGCTGGGAGGGGTACAGGTAATCCTTGATTTACAGCCTTTCATTTAGTGGCCGCTCAGCTTTACGATGACACTGAAAAAAGTGACTTATGATTGTTTTTCACAAGTTAAGACCATTGCAACATAGCCATGTGATCAAAATGTGGATGCCTGGCAACTGGCGTGTGTTTATGACAGTTGCAATATCCCAGGGTTATGTGATCACGTTTTGCAAATTTCTGACAAGCAAAGTCAGTGGGGAAGCCAGATTCATTTAACAACCATGTTACTAACTTAAAAAGTGCAGTGATTCACTTAACAATCATGGCAGGAAAGGTCGCAAAATGGGGCAAAATCACTATCTTGCTAAGCAATGAAAATGTTGGGCTCCACTGTGGTTGTAAGTCGAGGACTACCTGCATACAGTAATTTTTTGGGGAGAAAGAAGGAAGCCAAATCAAGGTTGGCACTGCCAGAAGGGCATATTTTGAAGAACGGAAGCCTCACACATTGCAAGTCTTACCTAACAGTACAAGTTTTGCTCACTCATCTTCCTTAAATTTGCCGCTGATCCATGGGACATAACCAAGGATCACCTTCCAGTCTGTGAGCCACACACCTCCTATGACAGCACTGGTGGCCCAGAGCGCATATGAACCCTTCCTGCAATATGGAGAAAATGAGTAACTTGAACAGCAGTATTTTAAGTTCTAGAATACTACTTGTTATGAAAACTTTCACATTGGATGGGTCCTTTCTGCAGACAGCTTTCAATCACTTGTAATTGCGAAGAACCTTTAAAGATCAGCTAAAGACACACTTCTCGAAACTGCAAACAGGCCATTTTGAAACACTGTTTTCTTCTTCTCACGTTAGATGTGATTAATTGAAGCATATTTTTGAAAATAAAATTTACGCCAGCTGCTTAGGAATGAAGATGGGTGGCTTTTGTCTGGAAGACACGTACCAGTGTTTCATTGTTTTCATATGAAATCCTATATACAGACCAGGAAAACTTGTTGGAAAGGACATGGTGAAATGTACACTTTAGGTTGACAAAGTCGTGAGAAAAGGTTGCATACGCTCCCTTTATTTACTAACCTACATGTCGAATACTAATTAAGCCAAGCTGAATTGGAAAAAGTTGAACACGATTTTAAAACTGGAGAAACAAACAGGAATGTCTATGGAGATTCTCACACATCCAGGTCATGGTTGTCCCAAAGGTGCTTTTTCAAGAGGCAACTGGTTTTTCTTTGAAGACTTCTCTTCAAATAAGCCTCTTCAGCTCAGAAAAACCAGAAAGTCCAGTTGCCTCTTGAATTCGGACATGGAATAAATTATATGAACGGATAGAGAAAAGAGATAGAAATTAGAGAAAGTAAGATTATGAAGGCTAAATATTATATATAGTGAAAGAGGTAGATAAATATAAATGTAGTAATTGACAAAAGTGTAATTAACTTAATGTAAGAAGAAACCTAAATCAATTCTCTTGGTTATACTATTAGTGCTGTTATACCATTACTATTGCTATTATTTTGTATGTTGCGATTTATTACCAACATATGTTGGTCATGTTTTATTTGTAAATAATGATCTGCCAATGCACGGTTATTCAAAAATGTTTATGAATGTTTATGAATGTTATTCAAAAATGTTTATGAATGAAAATTTATAAAAATAAATTAAAAAAACAAAAAGCATCTTTGGGACAAACAAGGCAGTCCTTTATAATTCTGCAAGCTTACAGCATTATAAACTTGTCCTTTATTATTTTGAAATAAAGGAATGCCAATAAAGAGTGCGCCTTTATTTCAGAAAGCTGTCTGAGAATATGCGTTTTTCTAAAATTATCCTTGGTTTTGCTGGCGGTTTTTATAACAAAGGAGATATTGTCATTGTAGCTTTATCAGGCCGTTCTTAATTTTTCAGGGATCTCGGTTTTGTTCTTAGGATTCTCCAAATGAAACGATGTACGGGTTAAATTGAGAGGATATTGTTTTATCGTTGTTTTACTTTTGCATTCTTAAAACATTAATTTATGGCTTTGGGGGTGAGCGCTGAAGCCACCCTTCCTCAACTTGTTACCCCACGCCCATGTTCTCATATCCCAGTTCTCATAAACTAGGATAACGTGGCCAAAGTGGCTCGAAATGCTGGGATATGTAGTCCTCGCAAGCCTGCAGAGCAAAACAAGGACAACCGCTTGGAAATAAGAGTGGTAGTGGTGGGAATTACCGCAGGGGCAACGAGCGTACTTCCTAAAGGAACCCCATTTCCTAGCACACGGAGCTGCAGACCCGCACCCCAGCCCAACTCACTGCTTGCGCAGATGCTCCAACAGGCTGGGCTTCAGCCCCAAAAGCGCCAGGACGCCCGCCATGAAGGTCGCTCACCCGAGCCCAGCACCTCTCCTCTCGACCCGCGGAGCGCATGCGCGGCGCCCTTAGCGTTACTCACCGGTCTATAGATCTAGGATAAACTATAGAACGCAGCGCTCCTTTTTCAGCAGTAATGTGGAAAAACATTGTTCTCTAGACTGAGTAATAGAGTAATAAGAGTTGGAAGGCACCTTAGAGGTCTTCTAGTCCAACCCCCTCCTCAAGCAGGAAACCCTATAAAATGGCTGTTCAATCTGTTCTTAAAAACTTCCAGTGTTGGAGCACCCACAGCTTCTGGAGGCAAGTTGTTCCACTGGTTAATTGTCCTCACTGTTAGGAAGTTTCTCCTTAATTCCAGGTTGTTTCTCTCCTTCAATATTTCCATCCATTGCTTCTTGTCCTGCCTTCAGTGCTTTGGAAAAGAGCTTGACCCCTTCCTCTCTGTGGCAGCCGCTTAAATATTGGAAGACTGCTATCATGTCACCTCACCCCTTCTTTTCATTGAACTAGATTACTAGACTTATCCAATTCCAGCATATGTTTTAGCCTCCAGCCCCCTAATCACCTTCATTTCTCTTCTCTCAGCCATAATTCATAGATTCCAGCCATAAGACCCAGCCTGACTCACAAATTCTCACACTCCTCCTTTTACAGTGCTAGTTTTTTTTAAAAAGGAAAACTGGATGAAATAGCAGAAGATACAGATGAAACATACCAAAAGCTACAATAGGCAAGTGTGTGCGGGGAGTCCTCCACTTACAACAGTTCATTTAGTGACTGTTCAATGTTACAGTGGCACTGAAAAAAGGGACATGATAGTAATAGAATAGAATAGAATAGAATAGAATAGAATAGAATAGAATAGAATAGAATAGAATA